AAATGACATTAAAAACACATTAATCATGACTTTACAAATATATCAGAAATATAAATGTGACTCTTACCCCCATATCTTAGAATACTCATTTTGCTTTGTTCAGTGTTGAACCCTAAGTCGTTTACGAATTGGTTTGGCTGTAACAGACATGACATTATCGCTGTTATCACATAAAGGTTTAGGTTTTTACCTAAATGAGGTGCTTGAAGGAAAGCAGTACAGATCAGGACTGTCTTCATTAACCCTCCGTAACATATAGCTTATATCCTTAACATTTGAGAAAAGGTTTATTTTGTGTATATGGGTGTTTTACCTGCATGCATATATGTGTAGCATGTGTATACAGTACCTGTGGAGGCCAAAAGAGGATTTCAGATCCTCTGGAACTAGAATTGCAGACAGTTGTGAGCCATCATGTGGGTGCTGGGATTCAGACCTAGTTCCTCTGCAAGGATAGCAAAGGCTCTTAACTGCTGAGCCATCCCTCAGTTGCTTTTCTTACGTTAGTGTTTGTGCACGTTGGGCACTTGATGGCCGGGTGGCTGATAGAGGTCTAAAGGTCACTCCAAAGAGCAGGAAGGAAAGACAAACAAACAACCCTTAGCTCCAGTCCTCCCAGGTATCCTATTTCCACTTACATCTCACCGAGGCGTGGTGGTGCACGCCTTCAGTCTCAACACAGGTAGATCTCTGAGTTTGAGGCCAGCCTGGTCTGAGAGCTTGTTCCAGAACTGCCAATGCTACACTACACAGAGAAACAAACAAATCCACTTATACTGCAACCTGCCTGACCTTGTTCAACTTCAAGGGACCTTTATAGATTTGCTAACGTTTTTTGTACAGATTTATTGACTTCTATAATATAAACTATGTAACCTTGTAAGAGTCATAGAGGAGGAAGTTTGAGAGTTTCCTAATTAATAAAATCAGTGGATCGCCTTCGCAGGCCTAGTCAGGGACCCAAGGGTACTGGTTACTTTTTCTGTCCACAGAGATTTCAAAATAATTGCTTCCACCTGACATGAAGCTCAGATCCCCTTAGGTAACAGAAATTATTGAGAGACTTTAAATTCTAGGATATGTAAAGAAAAAAAAATCTCCCTTTCCTGTTTTTAAGGAAGTCAATGATCTGTTGGTTAAGGAAAAAATTATGCAACTCACCCAGCAGAAATCACAAATCCAAACTCTTCAGAAGAAGGTGATAAGCTTGGAGAACGCTCTGACTTACATGACCACAGAGTTTGAGGCTGAAGTGTTGAAACTGCAGCAAAAGGCAGTCATAGAGAACCAAGCAGGTCTGGTAGAGATTAACAAGCTGCAGCAACTTCTTCAGATGAAGGACAGGGAGATGAATCGAGTGAAGAGGCTGGCTAAGAACATACTGGATGAGAGGACAGAAGTGGAACAGTTCTTTCTAGACGCTCTCTACGAAGTGAAGCAACAGATTCTGAGCAGCAGGAAGCATTATAAGCAGATAGCACAAGCTGCTTTCAATTTAAAAATGAGAACAGCGTGTGCGGGAAGAACAGAGTACCCGAGAATCAGGACCTTTGATGGCAAAGAACATAGTACCAATAGTGTGAATCAGGATCTCATGGAGGCTGAAAAATGGTATTAATAATGCAGAAATGCATTCTTTTTGTGCCCTTGTTTTCATAGCTCTTAAAGACATAAGAGCTCAGTGGGTTGTGGTAGCTTACACCTAGCACAGGACAGACATCAATCCCTGGACTGAGCTACACGAAAGCCTGTCTTTACATGCCTTCCTTCCTCTAAACCAGAACAAACTTAGATTGTTATACAGATTTATTAATAAGCTATTTGAGGACAGGAACTGACTTAACTTTGTAGTCACAATGCTTGGCACAGTGTGTAAGACTTGGTCTGTAGTCTTGGTAGCTGTGGCAGGAATCCGTTGAGGTAATTATTATTTTGTCCTGTAAGATACCATTGTAATGTCTCTTACTTTATCTTAGTTCTTATAAATTGGAAATATGTTGAAAAAACAAGACTTAAGTCCAGGTTAAACATTTTTAATCATACCTTTTCGGGTATTTTATGGTGTTCCTTTACTATTCTGAGATAAAATTAATAAGTAACAATAATTTTAAAAACTCAATATAATAATCCTTATTGACTGTCATGCAGAAATCTTCCGTGGATTGGAGGGCATTCTCTAGTGACCTCTGTATCACTCAGATCAAAATTCTCATAATTTCTAAAATATCTAGACATTTACTTGCACTGTGAAAACGTGCAGTGTCTGTGGCAGTTCAGTCTACAGTGGGAGCATTTAGTTTCTCCATGGCACTTGGGTTTTAGTGATCTGCCCATTGGAAACTGCCCATTGAGGTCACAGTACATTTTGTTGCATTTCTCATTTCATTTCAGGACCACAGAACATTTTGGATTGGCTAGCATGCTGACAGTCTTTTTCAGATTTTATGGTTTTGTAATGTGCAGTTTGCTTTGAAATCATTACCTATCTTATTATGGTATAGAAAATTTCTATTATTTACATACTTTATGCTTTTAAAAAAAGATAAGTTTACTTTGATCATATTTTTTACCTTGCTTTTTTTTCTTTGAAATTCTTCAGGCCAACTACTCAAAAAAATGTGGATATTAGAGATTTGACCTGGGAGCAGAAGGAAAAAGTCTTAAGACTGCTCTTTGCAAAAATGAACGGTCTTGCTGCTAGGTAATTTCCCATTTTTGTAATGAAATATCAGGTTGTCAAACCTAGAAGCTACATAGGAACAGTGACTGGCTTGTTGTTGAGAGCTAAAGGAAATAGATTAAAGCCCTTAGCTACTTGCTCAGCTGTTGCAACTTTTAGAGACTGGGAGATGAACGAATGAACATGGAAGCAAAAGGATCACCGATCGATCAATCGATCGGCTGAACATGTGGCACCTTCAGGGACACTTAACTCTTGAGCTTGTGTTGGTTTGCAAAGATGAGCAAATTATTTTAGGCTGATATTTGTTTGATTTATTTTGTAGCAGAGGCTCTTGTAGTTCAGGCTGGCTTCTAGCTCACTGTGTCATTGAGGCTAACCTTGAAATCCTGGTCTTCCTCCACCTCCCAAGTCAGAATAATACTTAGGAACTTGGTAAAAGTTCATAGTTGGCTATGTACAACTGTAAATTCAACAGCAGAGTATTTTTTAACTGACCTAAGTCAGTCAGAGGAGTTTAATCAGGAAACAGCTAAAATAAATGACTTATGCCATCACTTAGGCACTATTGTTTTACTAAGGATGTTTTCATATATAACTATTAGAGTATTTAATGTTTCCATCATTTGACTAGGTTTATGCTGTTTCCATCGGCACTTGCTTGAAGTCAAGTTCAGGATTGACATATGTGACTTCTTGAGAAGTCAACATGATATTCTTTACCTCTATAAACTCATTCAGAATAGTGAAGTCAGTTATCTTCTATTTCCTGCTTATTAACCCTACACTTTATACTGGGCCTGTCTCTGTTGGTTAACTTTTCTATGTCCTGAGAGTCCTGAGTTCTATGTGTGCAAGTGTGTGTGGGTGTGGGTGCCCGTGCAGAGGACAGAGCATCAGGAGTCTTCCTCTATAACTCTCTACCCCTTCTGCTAACCTTAGACATGAGCTCAAGCTTTTTCTTTGTCAGAAACTTTCTTGACCTTCACAATGAAGACAGATTCCTCCGATCCAGGCCCTTCATACTTTTATATAACTCCTCTTATCTGCAGAGGGGGAAGGAGGAGGATCAGGGTCATTGTAGGGTACACACTGAACTGGAGGCGGCTCTCCCTATCTCAGAACAACCAAAAAGCAATTTCACTTGACATCAATTCTTTCTTTGTTCTTGTTTTTAGTTCTCAGGATCTGTCTGTATCCTCCTCCTAATGCTAGGTTGGAACTCGTGTCTTCTTGCTTGTGAGGCAAGCACTCTTCCCCACTGACCCATTCTCCTTGTTCCATGAAGTTCTTTTGTGGGATGGGAACTTCTCTAGGTGTTTTGGTCAGTTGTCTCATTCAGCCCTGCCTTCCACTAGCAATCATAGTTCATGAATACCTTCATTATGGTTGTCTCCAGGAATACTTGTTTCTTGAATTCAACATGTTTGAACTTTAAACAGTTATATTCGATGCCTTATCACATCTATGTTTATAAAATGCATTCTGAAAATAGAAATCCTATCCAACTGAAATGCAACTCAGCATTTTAAGGGTAGGAAGGCAGAAGGACTCATTGACTCATTTGTTTATTGATGTTTATCCACCACAGGAAATACAATCAGAATTCTGAGCCTCCTGTTCCAGACCATATTATTTATGGCAGTGGAGAAATGAAAGAAACTGGGTAAGATTTCTCCTGCCAGAGTTATGAGTAAGAGCCTGATCACAATGCCCTTTGTGAATATTGTATAGCTTAGTTAAGTAAGAATGATATAGCAAGTCTGTTGTTCTCAAACAAAGTCTACACATGACTGTTGAAACACTATTTTTGTCTTTATTATAGGGATGAAATTAACCTTCCAGATCAAACCTTCATCACTCAGCAAGTGCCAGTATCAGACTCTAAAATAATGGTGTCACCTCAAGGATTACAGGACTCTGACATAGTAAGGAATCTGCTCTCTGGTTAAACAATCCATGACTGTTAGCTTTCACTATGTGATGTCTTGATAATTCATAGTTCTGTACTACCCAAGCAGCTCTCAGAGATGACCACAGAAAATGTTATCACCATGTCCATACTGATAAGGCATGTTATATATAACTGGAGAACCTGTAGATTACGTTCTGAAATAAGCAGCTGAGTCAAATGTGTACTGCATTAGTACTGTCTTCAGTGCTGCTGACTGAACCTTTGTGCGTACTAGGGCAAAATGCCCTCACTCTGGAGTCACCCTCCACCCTATCTTGTATATAGGCACAAACATAATGTCCTTATAAGTCTTGGCACCAAGCACAAATCACTGTAACCTAGAGAACAAAGGAAGGAAAAGACCACTTTTTTCAAAACTGTATTTTTTTCCTAAGGCTTTTTTATTTGTAGTTTGTTATTCATGATCAGTATAGAAGCTCACAAAATTCAATGAGGCCATATAAGAACAAAAAGGAAAAATGCTGGTTTTCTGTTTTAGTGATATTAACCCAAATATAAATTTCATCTAAGAAACAAGAAACTCTTTTGAGTACAAGTAGCTGGTCAAATCTGTTTATTATAATTAGAATAATGCAATTCTGATTAGTTGTAATTTTTTAAAAGTAACTTCCTTTATATCTAAGGAAAATATTAGGAGTCTGATTAAATTCTATTTGGAATTTAGATAATAACCACTTTTCAACCCAGCCCAAAATTGTTGGATTAAATTAAGTATGAACCATGTTTTCTAAGAAAACAAAGGGCACTGCAGTCACAAAGTATAAATGTCTTAACTTAAGGATGGAAAACAAAAGAAAATCAGAGTTGTGTTTTGTTAAAGTGACTGAAGCTCTGAATTCTACCAGAGCTGGTTACTCTAATAATCTTACATCCAAAGAGTAGGAAATGTCAAGGTTTTTCACCGCCTTTATTTTAATTCACCAAACCCACAATGGGCTGGAGCAGCACTGTTCACACATGGCTGTGCAGAAGAGAGGACAGTAATGACCAGTGCCACACCTCACTGAGCACTCAAGACAAAGCAGAGCCCATAACCATCTAGTTCAGAAAGCCAGGCTTCAGAAGGTCAGACAGACAAACTGTTCTGTTAGCACATCAGCCTCTTCTGACTTAAGGTTTAGATTATCAGAGAAGCAAGCTGAAAGGCTGCTGAATAGTTAAGTTGAATAAGGTGACTGAATACTGTCAAAGCATGAAACTTTGAAGTTTCTAGTAGTCTAAGCAATTAGTCTATATGAAGAATTCTTTCATTAAAATGTATCAATTAATGAGAAATGCTGTCAAAAGAAAGAATAACAAAATTTGACAAATAATAGGTTAAGCCTACTTAAGACAAGAGTCCATCCACTTTTATGATTGGAGGTCCTTTGATTTCTGAGTCAAAAATCATTTGTGAAATTTTTTTTTGTTGTTGTTTTGTTTTTTGAGGCAGGGTTTCTCTGTGTAGTCCTGGCTGTCCTGGAACTCACTCTGTAGACCAGGCTGGCCTCGAACTCAGAAATCCGCCTGCCTCTGCCTCCCAAGTGCTGGGATTAAAGGTGTGCGCCACCACCGCCCGGCGAAATATTTTGTCTAAGGATTTATTTGCATCTGAATTAATGGTTGGAGTATTGATTTAATGATTGTTGAGGCAAACCATGAAGAATGGCACATATAACAAAAAGCTAACTTAACACTTCATCCTGAGGTATCCTTGATAAGTATTTTAAGAAGCAAGAACATGGACAATGATAGAATTAAATAGTGGCCATGAATCACACAGAAGAAAGTGGTATTGAGCAGAGAACAGTTGTCACAACGCTGGGATATGTAAAACTAGGCTACATGTTAGATAGTGTGGGGACCAATGGAGGGCTAGATGTGAGGCTCAACCAGAGGGTGAGTTGTTTCAGTGACTGCAAGATTTGTCCCTACATTAACATTCCCCTCCCAGTCATCAGAAAAGAATTGTTAGGAGACAGTCTAAGCTCACATTCTAGGCAAACATTTCACACAAATAACAGTTACCTCAAAAACTGGAGAGAAGTATGGAGAACAAGTGAAGGCCTGGTATTAGTGTTATCCTGCACTCCCTACAACTTTGAAGGGATTGAGACTTCTGAGAAAGAATTTAGTTGCAATATATTCCATTCTCATGGATCTGTTTTTGAGCAAAGACGGCACATGAAGGTTGCCAAAAAGGTGAAAAATTACTCAGGCTGGATTGAGTCCTGAAGAACTTGTTTCTAACGCCCCATGGTAGGCATGACTACAGCAGGTGAGGAAAGAGTAGCATCTTCTTCTTTCCACTGAGATGTGATAGTCTTTAACTGAGTGTAAAACTGGATGCCCTTAAAAAAAAAATCAGAGAGAAAAAGAGTCAGTGTATACTTTTCAAATTAGCTGTTGAAGGCGGTGCTGTGAGCAGTACTCACATTCCTATTTGAGTAATTGTGCAACAAAATCCACTGGTTGTTCATGAGATAGTATACCCAAAACATTTACAGGGGTGTAGAGAGGTGGTTCAGCTATCAAAAGTTCATGTTCCTCTTGCAGAGGACCAAGGTTTAATTCCCAGTAGCCACATGGCAGCTCACAACCATGTGTAACTCCAGTTCCAGGGGATCTAACACATTCTTCTGGCCTTTTAGGACATCAGTCACTACATGGTGCACAGACATACATGTAAGCCAAAATGTGTGTGTGTATAAATAATATTTAATTACGTATAATTGAATATATAATTTATGTTATATATTATATATTTAATTACACATAATTAAGTATAAGTTGTAAATATATAAAATTTATATATTTATATATAATTATACACACATATATTTACATACATACATACACATACATACACAAAGAACAACCCACATTTATGGGGCTTGGCTATATTGCAATTGGTAGAATGCTTCTCTAACATGCATGAAACCCTGGATTCAATGTCCAACATGGCATAAAACAGGCATGTGTGAGGCATGGTAATACAAGCCTGTAATTCCAACTCTGAAGAGGTGGGTGCAGGAGGATGGAGAGGTGAAGGTCATCCTTGGCTACACAGTAAGTTGGAGACCATCTCCAAAATAATAAATCAATCTGCAGAGATGTGTCTGTGGATGAAGCAGTTACCATTAGGACCTGGTTCAGACTCCCGGTACCCATGTAAACATCTGAATTGCCCGGAGCTTTTTCCTCTAAACTATAGCCTTGAACTACTCATGAAGAGACATTGGGCAAAAGTTTGGTGACTTTTAAATTTTTTTTTAGGGGCCTGAGAAATAGAGCAGCACAAAGATGACTCCACAGCAGAAGCAAGAGACCCTTCCTTATGTAATATTGCTCTGAATGTGTTCAAGACAGTTTCTCAAAGAAAAAGAGAATTCCAACTCAAAAGTTACCTGTTTGCCATAGAAATTGGTGTCTCCCCTGAAGGAAGATCGAGAGCCGGTGAAGGAAAACATCGGCAAAGGCACTGGAATGGGGACATTCACGCCCACCTAAAGAGAACAAATGTAATCAAAGTCCAGGAGTCCTCACTCCCCAGAGGGCTCAGACGAAGTGTCCTTGTAGAAGCACACAGGCAACAGAGACTAATTTTATTTTTGCTTTGGATTTTAGATTTTGTTTGGTTTGGGGTTTTTGGTTTGTTTGTTTTTTTTGTTTTTGTTTTTTTTGAGATATCAATTTTATGTAGTCATCTTGCGCCCTGTACTCCACCTTAAAAACTTTTATTCCTGAGGCAGGGATGGGGAATTGTGGGCAATTAAAGGGGCAGTGTTCAAACAAGCTGTAGCTGACTGACTGGTCACTGTCTATCATTTCCTCTGTGGAAACATTAAAGGGGCAGTGTTCAAACAAGCTGTAGCTGACTGACTGATCACTGTCTATCATTTCCTCTGTGGAAACATTAAAGGGGCAGTGTTCAAACAAGCTGTAGCTGACTGACTACCACTGTCTATCATTTCCTCTGTGGAAACATTAAAGGGGCAGTGTTCAAACAAGCTGTAGTTGACTGACTGTCACTGTCTATCATTTCCTCTGTGGAAACATTAAAGGGGCAGTGTTCAAACAAGCTGTAGTTCACTGACTGGTCACTGTTTATCATTTCCTCTTTGGAAACAGCTGTTTAAGAATCTCCAAAAATTCTCTTCACAAACCTGGCCCACATCCACCATGTGAGTGTATTTCCGAGCTGTGGCTCCGTTGGTGGTGAAGATGGCAGTTCCATTTCCATATGGGTTGTCATTTACAATCTTGATGGCTTCATCCAGTGTTTCTGTCTCCAAAACCACAAGAACTGGACCAAAAATCTCCTCTTTGTAACAAGTCATACTTGGCTGTCAGGAGAGATGGATACAGAAAAGAACTCAGCTTTTTTAATTGCATATTTTATGTTTTTGGCATTCTGAGCCACAAGCTGCTTCCATGCTATTGATCTTTCGTCATCTCTTATTTCTTTTTTTCTTTTTTTTTTTTCTTTTTTTTTGTTTTTTCGAGACAGGATTTCTCTGTGTAGCCCTGGCTGTTCTGGAACTCACTCTGTAGACCAGGCTGGCCTCGGAACTCAGAAATCCAACTGTCTCTGTCTCCCAAGTGCTGGGACTAAAGGCGTGTGCCACCACCGCCCAGCTGTCATCTTTTATTTCTGTTCGTAGCTATCAGCATATAAATAACTTGGAATTTTTGCATTCTTTGCTTTTCAGTACTCAATTTCAAGGTCAAGGCCCAGCACCAGCACCTATACAACTTGTTTCAATACAATTTAACTGAAAGTTACATGAAATGTCATTTTTATGAATCAAACATGTATTAAGTGTACCAGAATTTTTCTAGAAACTTCTTGCTAAATGCTCTGTAACAAAACAACCCATTCTCATTCATTCCTTTGTTTCCAAATAAGTCTCCAATTTTGATACTGGTCCTTCTTAAACATTCAAAACATCCTTTACCTCAGCACTTAGCCAGCTGTGTTTGTTGACAATAAGTTTTTCCTCTGCTGTTCTGTAGCAAGAACCTTCAACCCATGATCCTTCAGGGTTAGTAAGGACATACGACAAAAAGCCTGCCTCAACTAGCCATGAATGTTAGCTGAGAGACTGTCACACTTTGATAAATAAAAATTAATACATGATCTTTTGCTTTTGTTTCATTCTGGTAAAGTGGACACAGGGCAAAGTAGCCAATAAATACTGGGTAGTTACTATATTGACTGGGACACTATAAGTGAACAAGTGGGAAACAAGTGTAAGACAAGGAAGGGGTTTATTTCATTATCATTTTTTAAATGATTGTATTTTATGTACATTGGTTTATCTGCATGTATGTCTGTGTGAGGCTGTCAGATCCTGTGGAACTGGAGTGACACAGTTGTGAGCCTCCATATGGTTGCTGGGAATTGAACCCTGGTCTTCTAGAACAGCATCCAGGGCTCTTAACTGCTGAGCCATCTCTCCAGCTCCCCAAAGCAAGGGTTTTAATTGCTATTTATGGGCCAAATATGCCAGCTGCTTGTCCTTACACAGTCCATAAGCTAAGAATAGTTTCTACCTTTTTTTAATGGTTAAGAAAAAATTTCATGACATAAAATTACAAAATTCAAATGTGTGTCCATAAATAAGATTTTTACTGGAAGATATCCATATATTTGTGATTGATTTTATACTATACAGCAGAATAGTTATGACAGAGATTGTATTTCTTCAAAGCTGAGAATATTTAGCCTTCCATGGAAAGTCTATTTGTACTGCTTAGTTTGTGTCATCTTGATATATCCAAGTCATCTGGGAAGAAGGAATCTTAACTGGCCTCCTTCAGACTGGCATGTGGGCAGATTTGTATGGTATTTTTTAAATTAATGATTGGTGAGAGAGGGTCCAGCCCACTGTGGGTGATGCCATCCCTGGGTAAGTGGTCCAGAGTTGTATACAAAAAAAAAAAAAAAAAAAAGCAAGGCGAACCAGCCATAGAGCAAGTTAGTAGATAGCCTCCCTCCATGGTCTCGGTTTCAGTTTCTGTCTCCAAGCTCCTGCCTTGAGTTCCTGCCCTGACCTCTTCCCTCAGTGATTAACTGTAATCAAAACAAAACAAACCAGATAGACTCCTTTACTCCTTAAGTTGTTTTTTGGTCATTTTTATCGCAGCAATAGAAAGCAAGACAGGACGTGTGGCACACAGTGGAAAGAGATGTGGTTGGAAGCCAGAGAGATTTATTTAGTTTCCAGCAGAGTAACTGAACAATCCTGGCAAGAGTTCTGATCTTAAATATCTTCACTTATAGAGGGGTGAGATTTCATAGCCCTAAGGTGTTTTTAGCTCTTATATTTGTGAAGTAATTCAGAGTTGTTTACCTTAACATTGGAGATGATGGTTGGTCCAACAAAGTTACCATTTTCATAGCCCTTGACTTTAATTTTTCTCCCATCCAGAAGGATGGAAGCTCCCTCTTTTGTTCCGCTATCGATCAGATTGCAGACTCTCTCTTTGGCCTGGGGGGTGATCAGGGGGCCAAGATCAGCTCCAGGCTGGTCCCCTATAAACCAAGTAGAAATGTCTAAAGATTTTATTATCATAAAATTTTAACTGCTGAGGCAAATTTGAATGTCGATTAGGAGAGGTAATAGTAGGAACATAACTTCCCCTCCAGCAAAGCCTAAGCTAAACCTGAAAATTTAGTGCCGCAAAAGTCAAGTCTAAAGCTGCTCGGCAGCTGACCGATTACCTGCATTGACTCTCAGATTTTTGGCACGCTCTACCAGTTCTGGCAGCCACTTCTTAGCTTCCCCTACAAGGATGGCTGTCGAAAGGGCCATGCAGCGCTGCCCAGCAGCTCCGAAGGCTGCCCCGACCAGCTGGTTGAGGGTATTTTCCTTATTGGCATCTGGCATGACCACTCCATGGTTTTTAGCTCCCTAAAGAAACGTAGAAAGTACACAGGTCTTCCTTAGCTAAATTCACTTAAACAAAAAAATTAAGCAAAGAATCTGATATATGAGAATTTATAGGAAGAAAGTCCATCTTTTTTTTTGTTTTGTTTTTGGTTTTGGTTTTTCAAGACGGTTTCTCTGTGTAGCCCTGGCTATCCTGGAACTCACTCTGTAGACCAGGCTGGCCTCGAACTCAGAAATCCACCTGCCTCTGCCTCCCAAGTGCTGGGATTAAAGGCGCGTGCCACCACTGCCCGGCCTTTTGTTATTTTTAAAGTTTTAACTTGCCAGGCAGTGGTGGACAGCCAGGGCTACACAGAGAAACCCTGTCTCGAAAAAACAATAAATAAATAAATAAATAAATAAATAAATAAATAAATAAATAAGTAAATAAATAAATAAGGAAAGAAAGAAAGAAAGAAAGGAAGGAAGGAAGGAAGGAAGGAAGGAAGAAAGAAAGAAAGAAAGAAAGAAAGAAAGAAAGAAAGAAAGGAAGAAAGGAAGAAAGGAAGAAAGGAAGAAAGGAAGAAAGGAAGAAAGGAAGAAAGGAAGAAAGAAAGGAAGAAAGGAAGAAAGGAAGAAAGGAAGAAAGAAAGAAAGAAAAAAAGAAAGTTAGTTTTAACTTTTGCGGTCTTGGGAATTAAACCTCAGCCTTGTGCATGCCAGGCAAATATCAGCCTTTTATTTTGAGACAGACTCAGTGAATTGCCAAAGGGAGTACTGAACTCACTCTATAGCACAGGCCAGAGATTATTTTTAATACTGCTGAAGTTTAAGCAATACTAAACGGCTCCATGCCGGGCGGTGGTGGCGCACTTGGGAGGCAGAGGCAGGCGGATCTCTGAGTTCGAGAGTTCAAGGCCAGCCTGGTCTACAGAGTGAGTTCCAGGACAGCCAGGGCTACACAGAGAAACCCTGTCTCGAAAAGAAAAAAAAAAACGGCTCCATGTTTCTTTAATCTCTTTGAGAAGCTGATATGTATTTATTTAAACCAAAACTATTAACATGGTGGTGGGCAGGCGAAGACCCAGTTACTTTCACATTGACAGGTTAAAAAACTAGTAGAATACAAAAGTAAACCAGGTATTGTGTGAGGACATACGAGATGGTGCCTTGCATGGACTGGCCCTTTCCAATTCCTTAACAAACAAACTGGTCATTCTAAAGATGAAATAACCTTAGGCATAACCAGTTCTTTATCTTTTTTCTTTTTTAATTTTTTTGTTTTTCAAGACAGGGTTTCACTGTGTAGCCCTTGCTGTCCTAGAACTCACTCTATAAGTTAGGCTGGCTTCAAACTCAGAGATCCGCCTGCCTCTGCCTCACTAGGACTAAAGGCGTGTGCCACCTGGCTCTCTACCATAGTTCAAAGCCGTGTAACTAGTAGAATACACTTTTTAAAGAAGTAATAAATAAGTTCAAGAAAGCAGAAATGTGGCTGTTACTACATGAAGACTAAAGGAATCAGTGACAGTTTTGAGGAGGAATGTGCCCTGGGTCACCAAGATCAATTATGTATGATGAAAGAGAATTCTAACAGTAAAACTTCACAAGTTGCAGAGACTAAGGGAGAAGACATTCAGGATGAAATGACAAACACTGGCCTCCAGGAGACATGGGATGAGTGGCCTGTCTACTGCAGGACACTTCCTAGGTCTCACTTATACAGATAGTCAAGTTTGAGGAGCCAAAGGAATGAGAAGTCACCATATTGGCTTGAACCCTCTTGCCATTTCTTGACCCTCTTTCGAAGATGTACTCTCCTGCCTGGTTGGATCCCACGAAACTGATTGCCTTGATGTCTGGATGATCGCAAATAAAATTTACAGCTTTGAAAAGAAAAAAAAATGATTACCACAAAGCATAAATAGCCTATAGGCTTACCAACTCAGCGAACCACCCCTTTCCCCACAATGAACCTACATTCACACACTTCTACATGGAAATCTCACTGTGGTATGCTCTTTTTCTCTTAAATTATAATTTGTTTTGTTCTTGAAACAGGATCTCACTATGTAGCACTGGGTGGCCTTGAGCTCACTAGACCAGGCTGGTCCCAAACTCACAAGAGCCCCACCTGTTTCTGCCTCACAAATATTGGGATTATAGTCATGGGCCTCCACACCTGTCTTTCAATTTACAAGTTGTATTTAACTTGTTTATTCTCATTAGTATTCCAGAATTTCTACTTCGAATCTCTGAAAGCCATAATTTCTTTAAACTTTATTTTCATTATGTGTGTGTGTGTGTGTGTGTGTTTGTACACAACAGAGGACAGCTTTGTGGAATTGGTTCTTTTCTCCCACCTTTATGTGAGTTCCAGGGATCAGGCTTGCATGTCAAGTGCCTTTACATGCTGATCCCTTTAGACAACCCATAAAGGCTACAACTTTTATTTTCCTCAAATACAATAACATTCTTTCAAAACTTGACCTTTTTATTTTATCTTTAAGAATATGTTATATCTAAGATTCTCAGATACTTATGCCCTCATACAAGAGATAACAGGGAAGACTATAAATAAGAACCAGAGCCAGCCTTCCTGGATAGATGTATCCTAACTTCCCTACTTTCTGTTACAGTTAGGGAAATTGTAACATGTTATGTTACTTAGAGCAAATGACGTAATTGCACTTTGCCTTTATCTTCTTATTTGTAAGATGAAAAACAGCACTTCCCTTAAAGGGTTGCTAAGATATTAAACAAGAACATAAACTTTCTCTTTAATCTCATTTCTGGTGTTCCACTGTGTAGACTAGAGTAAGAAACATGGATACTCCCTAGTAAGGTACTTTAGCCTATCCAGATGGCGAGATGGTTAAGACACATGACCTTCAAACATGAAGGCCACTGTTAATAAATCCTTCCCTGAAATACCCAATCACAGAGCTGGAGAAATGGCTCAGTGGGTTAAGAATGCCTCCCACTCTCCCAGAGGATATGAATTCAGTTCCCAGCACCCACACTGTGCACCTCACAACCACCTGTAGCTTCAATTCCAGGAGCTCCAATACCCTTTTGGCCTCCGTGGGTACCCACACATATGTGGCAGACACACAGAGTCACATGCACCTTAAATAAACAGTAAAAATCCCAATCAATTTTTTTAACAGCTTAAGTTTCTTTGGGAGTCAGACTAAGTAGCCAACTAAAGAGTTACCTTCATGCTGTCCATGGATGACGTTCAGTGTTCCGTCAGGGGCACCAGAATCCTGAAACAACTTAGCAAGAAGCATCGTTGCTCCAGGTACTCGCTCTGATGGTTTCATTAGGAAAGTATTTCCACAAACCATAGCCATGGGAAACATCCAGAGGGGGATCATGGCAGGAAAGTTAAATGGTGCAATGCCTGCACATACCCCCAGAGGCAGGCGGTAAGAATAAAGGTCCATGTCTTTGGTGATAGATGGCATGGTCTCTCCCAGCATGAGGGATGTCACACTACAGGCATGCTCAACCACCTCTGGAAGAGAGAAGATATCAATGAGGTCACCTTTCCATGCTAAGTACTACTTAGCTTTGTCAAACTCTATTCAATCCTGAGAATAAGGGCTGGGTCAGGCCAATGACAGGGATTTATCCTTCCATGTTCCTCAGATTGACTGGGTAAACAAAATAGTAAGATGCATACATGTTCTGAAACATCACTTGTGCTTAAAAAACAAAACAAACAAAAAAAAATCAGTAAATTAGCCTCAAAAGTACCTGAAAAATATTGCCTTACAACTATTTTAAAAGGTATTGCTGGGCATGGTATTATGCAACTTATAATCCATGGGTAAGAGCCACCCTTGACTGTATAGTTCCAAAACAGCCAGAGACACACAGTGAGCCTTCGCCTCAAAAGACCAAAACAAAAAAACAAAAAACAAACAAAAACAAAAAACCCAAAAAGCAAAACAAACAAAAAACAACAACAAAAACCAAAGCAAAATAAAGCAAAACGGCAAAAAAAGAAGAAAGAGAAAAGAAAAAAATCCCACAGGATAGCAAAATCTACATAAAGAATCAACCTTCCCAGTGTGGGGTCTGCCTCCCATATTCTTTTGATCTCTCCCACAAGTCTAATGAGGGGTTCCCAGCTTACGAAGTCCTCGGAATACATCTCCTTCCGCATCAGCAAGAGTCTTCCCTTGTTCCAACGTGATTAACCTGGCAATTTCTTTCTAGAGAGAAAACATATAAATAGAAACTAATCCAAGGATGTTCCTTTATTTACTTGCTTGCTCGATGTTGGGGATATGCTTCATGATTTTGTTGCTGTTTTGAGACAAGAGCTCATGTAGTTCTGAGTAACCTCAAACTCACTTTGAGGCTGGCCTTGACTCCTGATATTTCTGCCTCCACCTCCAAAGTGCTGGGATTACAGGCACGAACCCCTGTGTCTGCCTGAATGTTCACTGTGGTGGTTTGAATATGCTTGGCCCAGGGAGTGGCACTATTAGGAAGTGTGGCCTTGTTGGAGTAGATGTGGCCTTTAGGAGGAAATGAGTCACTGTAGGAATGGGCTTTGAGGTCCTATTCTTAAGCTGTGCTCACAATGGAAGGGACCTTCCTCCTGGCTGCCTGCAGAAGACAGTCTTCTCCTGCCTGCCTTTGGATCAAGATGTAGAACTCTCACTTCCTTCACCAGCACCATGTCTGCCTTCAGACTGCAGACATGATGATAATGGACTGAAACTCTGAACCTATAAGCCAGCCGCAATTTATATTGTCCCTTGAGAGTTGCCTTGGTCATAGCGTCTGTTCACAGCAATGAAACCCTAGCTAACATTCACCAAGCACAAAGTCTACCGCTGAGCTCTATGACAGCTCCCATTTTACTCCAAGGAAAAACCAAGCTGGGGGAGAACTCGGATGATAAGGGACCTGACCAATGCCCTTCTGTGTTGTAGAGAAGGGACCTGACCAATGGCCTTCTGTGTTGTGGAGAAGGGACCTGACCAATGCCCTTCTGTGTTGTAGAGTTAGTGAGGACAGCTGAACAAGTCTCTGAAGAGGTGACCAACATAGCCTAGGAAACAGGCTAGGAGACTGCTCAAATTTCTCACCAGGTTTTCCTTAATGAGTTGCTGATAACGGAGCAGGACCTGCTGCCGGCTTAAAATCGATGTCTCTGCCCACGCAGGAAAAGCACGTTTGCAGGCAGCAACAGCTGCATCCATTTCAGCTTTGGTGGACTGAGGAACACGACCAACAACCTCATTGGTGGCCTGAAAAGAAGCCAACACGTTTTGCCAATGCCTCACTCCCCAGGTTGACCTACTCACAGCAGCAACATTGTGTTTTGTGGGAGAACTCCGCCCCCCCCCCCACATGCTCCCAAAATTCTAGGCTAGTAGGTTTAAGTCCCCCCAGAAGTTTTGCTTACTGGGTTGTGGATGTCAATCCACTTGTCACTCTTGGATTCAACAAACTTCCCATCAATGAAGAGCTTTACGGTTGGCTAGAGAAAACACACATGCACGCACACAGAAAACACACATGCATGCACACAGGCAAAAGGAGAAAAGAAAAGAACTTTCATTATTTTGCTTCTCTTCCTCTTGTAAAGAAAAAATTCTGGTGGATACTTGGATCTAATGGCTGAGTTTTCTCTCTGGCCCTTCCCCACCAAAAATGTAAACTTCTAGTAGCAATGAAAGTGCTTATACCTTATGACCTGGTTGGTAAAGCTCAAGACAGAAATAATCCAAAAGAATTTAAAAACTACATTAAAATACTTATTTCACAATACTGAAAAACTGAAGCACGCTAAATGTTATATGAAAACATTCAAATTACCTACACCTGATGGAAAATTATGCAGCCATTAAAAATTGTAATTATAAAGAACATTTCACAAGACTGAAACTGTTTAAAGCATAATAGATATAGTTTCTGATAAGAAAACCAAGACAGGACGTTTTTCTGGGCATGGTGGCCCATAAAGGACTAAAAAGGACTTGAGCACATAGACAAGCACTGTTGAAGCCAGGAATGCTAAACACGAAGCGTACCTCTTTAAAGGAATGAGGCATGTAGCTGCTCTTCCCAGAAAGCCAGGAAAGATGGAGGTTTACAACCCCACAATCCTTTGTTGTCTGATAAGACAGGCTCTGCCTGTATCTCCCAGAATTCACACTTTTACTTAGGCCAGACCCTTTCCTCCTAAATCTTGAGCATTGCTTTTAAACCACAAAACCCATTTTTTTTTTTTTTTTTTTTTTTTGGTTTTTCGAGACAGGGTTTCTCTGTATAGCCCTGGCTGTCCTGGAACTCACTCTGTAGACCAGGCTGGCCTCGAACTCAGAAATCCACCTGCCTCTGTCTCCCAAGTGCTGGGATTAAAGGCGTGCGCACAAAACCCATTCTTATGAGTAATCTCATTTGTATTTTCTAACAGCCTAAGTGACTTCTATGTTATCTTAGATCCAGGCCAATCCTGACACCCACAGGAGTTAAGTTTATCTCAGTCAAGCTTGCTATACTGAAAATCTTGGGCACTATCTCTGAGTCAACAGTATCCATTCTTGTGAAAGAAGCCAGATGTACTTTGTAAAGAATTCCAGTGTAAACATATCTTAAATTATTGTACACTTAGGACTGAGTTAATTGTTATCTGAAACCTTTTTTTTTTTTTTGGTCAAAAATGTGCTGTGTCTAAATATGACTAAAATAAAATGATCTGGGCCAGACTCTATAAGTCTTGGTATAGCACTGAGGCAATAAGGTCAGGCTGAGGCAAGTTTCATTCTTACCTCACTCTGATGGGTTTTTGTTGTTGTTGTTTTGGTTTGTTTTCCCTGCCTGCTGTAAAGCCTGCAGGGGAATCGCGACAGCAGCACATATCTGTTTATCCCAGCATTTGCACAGGTAAGAGTTGACCTACATAATGGGTTCCAGACAAGCCAGGGCTACATGAGACCTACTTTTAAAGGGGGCCGGAGAGATGGCTCAGTAGTTAAGAGCACTGACTGCTCTTTCAGAGGACCCAGGATCCATTCCTAGCACCAACTCACAACCGCCTGCAGCCAGCTCCAGGGCGTATGGACGCCCTCTCCTGGCCTCTGCAGGACATGCAGGTAAAATACCAATAAACATAAAATAAAAATTTAAATAAAAAGTATAAAACCCACAAAACTAAAAGTCCCAAACATTTTGATCACAGTCAGCTTGAAAATTACAGCGGATTCCTTCTCAGAAGTCCATCTTTAGCTCCTAAGTTACTTACCACTGATGATGAAGAGAAGGAGGATGCTGGATACCATGTGGAATTTACTTTTGAAGAAACCTGTAGGATTAAAAAGTATCTGATAAATGTCTGGTGCAGTGGCACACACTTTTAATCCCAGCACTCAGGATGCAGACAGGTAGTCTCTGTGAGTTGGAGATAAGCTTGGTCTACATTGTGAGTTTCAAGCCAGCTGTGGCTATATATTAAGACCCTGTTTCTTTCTTTTTAAGATAGATCTATTTATTTATTTATTTATTTATTTATTTATTTATTTATTTATTTAATGTATATGAGTATGTTGCAGCTGTCTTCAGATATGCCAGAAGGGGGCATTGGGTCCCATTACAGATGGTTGTAAGCCACCATGTGGTTGCTGGGAATTGAACTCAGGACCTCTGGAAGAGCAGTCAGTGCTCTTAACCGCTGAGCCATCTCTTCAGCTCCAAGACCCTATTTCAACAAAACACAATCTGATAAAAAAGCACAGAAAAGCATACAAGACTTGACAAATGGCTGTTATAATGCTCAACATCATATAGCTACTGGAATTAAGTAAAGCATTTAGTGTTTGGTCTCAAGGACCATATAGTCTTGTTCTGAGACAGTCTCCCTCTGTAACCCAGCCTTTCCTGGAACTCATTATGTAGCTGAAGCTGGCCTTGAACCCAGTGATTCCCTACTAGCCTCCTAAGTATAGGAGTATAAGCATAAGCCACCATATAATGCTTAGGGCCATATGCCTTTTTATTTGTTTGTTTGTTTTTCTCAATAAAGTCCTGGATGTTCTGGAACTCAATATATAGACCATGTTGGCTTTGAACTCACAAAGATCTTCCTGCCTCTGCCTTCCAAGAGCTGGGATCCTGAGACTGGATCTGTCTCTTCCCATTATCCCCCAGGTGTTAAGGATCAAACCAAGGGTCGTATGTATGCTAGAAAGCATTCTACAGTTGAGCTATGTCCCTAGCTTTGGCTGTATAGTCTTTATTTTTAAAAAAAAAAAAAAAGACAAGGCCAGGTGCTATGGCACAGGCCTTTAATTCTAACCCATTGGTAGGTAGAGGCAAGCAGACCTCTGTGAATTCAAGACCACTCTGATCTAAACAGTGAGTTTCAGGTTAGTCAGAGCTATGTAGTGAGACCCTGTCTCATAAAAAGGGGGGAGGGGAATAGGTCATCACAAACTCAAGGCTAGCCTGGTAGTCTACACAGTAAAGGCTAGAAAAAAATTACAACAACTAAAATGAAAACCCTGACAAGAAACTAGGAGACACAAAAAGTTATAGAAACAATAAATCATAAAGATCATGTCCTGGATTTCCAGGGAAGTCTTAATTTAAGGAATCTTTTTAGCCATTGTATCATATTTTGCAAAATAGTGTCACCACATATCTAACAAAAGTGCTTAATAGGATATCTAAAGTAAGTGTTGGAGTCAATATAATAGTTACACGGGCATTATTTGAAATAATATAAAGTCAATATATAAGAAACCATAAATAATAAATAATAATAAATAAATAAATAAATAATATTGTCTGTGATCAATGTAACTACAGATTAAATAGTAATAAAATACAAATATATGTGCACACATTCTTGAATACAAACGTTCATAGTGTCTTTATTTTCATTAGTCCTAAACTTGGTCCACTATTAGACATACGATCAAAGTGCAGATGTATGAAAATGTCACAATGGAACCCATTTTTTATAGAATATATATTAGTAGTAATATCTTAAATAAATATTTTAAAGATAAAGTAGTTGAGTATCAGATGAGTATGGAGATCTTTCAGGAAGCTGAAGGCTCATTTATTCCAGGCCAGTCTAGGGTACCTGTTCCAAGGTGGAAAGACAACGAGCTGAAACACTAGATGATTTCATCAATAATAAGCTAGGCAACGCAAGCTCATCTATAACACCATCCGATTTGTCGGCACCCTTAGATGAAAGGAACAGCAGTAAGGAGAGCTGAGAGGGTACTTTTTAGAGTAATGGATATTTTTATTATCTTTTATAAGCAGTAAGTCTTACTAAATGGTATTATGTACATCTTATTTTGTGTCAATTCACTTTAATGAGGCTATTTTAAAAATGGTACAGGTACCTCGTGGCAGGGGAACACGTTGATATTTTGTAGGGTAAAAAAGTCAGGGAGTTGAGTGAGGCTCAATTATAATAATGTTAAATCTCACATTATATTTCTAAAAAAAATGTTCAACACGTTACAAAAGTTGACTTGAGAGATATTCCAGTAAAAGATGTAAAGGAAAGCTGGGGTGATGGTTTCCATGGCCACTGGCCCCTCCCACCCCTTGAGAAGTTGACTTATGACAGTGCTCCCCTTGGCCATTGCCCACTTTCACCAACAGAGTGCTTCACGTCTATACTATACTATGAGTGTCTCCCTTAGTTCTTTCCATGTCGATCAACAAGGACCAGGGAGCTGAGGAGAGCAGCACAAAGTCCCAGTGAGCTCTGGGTTCTCACCCTCACCCTGAGACCTTTGATGATGCCAACTGAGTTTCTTCTCTCAACGCTCTTTACTTCCTTAACTCCCGACAGCTCTTTGATCTACTCCAACCTTCATGAGTGTCAGTGACTCCTCCTAAGTCCTCCTTAGACTGGACCTCACAGCAGAGGGGACTGGCTTTCACTTGTCTCCCATGACGGCCTGCTGTCTTCTCCACCCCTCCGTCCCCACTTTTTTTCTTTGTATCCCCTCCTTATCTCTTTTGCTGGACCAGTCTCCTCTTCTGACCGTCAACTCCACTACCCAGGGCTTAGCCCCAGGCTTTTCTTCTCATTCTGTATATTCTCTTTAAGTGATCCCAGCAACTTCAGTGGACTAATTAGGTCCTGCAGTCGTCAGCCCGTCTTTCTCTTCAGGTAATACCCATATAACTATTTTTTCACGCATCTACTTGGGATCATGCTGAAAAGCTAAACCCCTCCCTCTCCTCCACTCCGTAGGCTTTACTTCCTAGAGCCCACCCACCTGTGCAATGGTCCTTGGTTAACTGGCTGACCAAGGTGAATTCTGAATGTCACCTCATCTCCCTTTCGCTTCTCAGTGAACCAGACAAGACCTGGCACAAGTCCCATCTATCTTCCTACAAGTCTCTGAACACACTGTCCTCTCCTCTTGTCACCCTGTCCTTTTTCAAGACTGATTACTATCTCTGTCTCTTCTTTAGATTTCAATAATGGCTTTCCAACAAGACTCATAGTTTCCAACCTGACGTGTTCTGAATCGTTTCTATTCTATAAATAGAAGCAAACAGAGTCTTTCTAAGTAAGAAGAATTAGGTAAAACATTAACAAGTCCTCAGTTTATTTGAGGATACAAATTACTCCCATATGTAGAACTCTTCCATGCTGCTGGGAGTGTACCTCAACTTTAAACTAGACAGTACCTACAAGGTCCTGGATTCCATTTTTAGCAACACAACATAAAACAGCAACAAACCCTCTAATGGCTTTCTAGTTCCCTTGCAGTTAAGAGTAACATCCCTGGTGTTCAGAAGACGTCATAGAGTACTTTTGCGTCTCGAACTTCATAGTTTGCTCACTACTTCCTCCTTGCTCTCTGTTCCAAGCATCCTGGAGCTGGACATTATACAGTTTTGTCCCAAGGTTGGCTCAAACTTCTGGACATGTTTTATCTTCTTTGTTGTACATATGCTGATCCATTCTGTTTGGTTTCATTCCACTTCCCTGGCTCATTCTTAACTATCTCAGGAAGTCTCAACCCCAGGTATGGGATAAACACCCAATTGTGGAGTTCACTGAGCACCCAAAGGCCTCCATTTTTTATTTCACATTATGGGCTAGTAGCTTGTTTAATTATTAAGTGTCTCTTCAGACCACTAGACCGTTGTGTTCTCTGCCCCTAGTGCAATTGCTTGAATAGACTGAAGACTTGTTAATATTTTGCAGAATCAAAGGATGAATAGTCACCAAGCAATAACTTGTTACTAATATTGTCTCATGTGTTCTCTCCTTAAGGTACTGATCAGCTAATTTCGCAGTCCGAATCAGTTAAGCTTTGTGTTTTCACATGTACACTGATAGACAGTGTACCCAATATAATGAAATAGTACCATGTAGTTTTTGCAGGGTTAGACTTCATGTGCTTTGCATTTCCTAAGAAATATTCATTAGCACAACTCTTGAATAAACTAGCCTATAACTTTCACTGTCTAGATCGGAGACTCTCAACCTTCCTAATGCTCCGACCCTTTAACACGTTCCTCATGTTGTGTTGACCCCCCTCACCATAAAATTATTTTTGTTGCTACTTCATAACTATGGTTTTGCTACTGTTATGAATTGTAATGCAAATATATGATATGCAGGATATCTGATATGAAGGGTTGTTCAAGCCTGAGGGGTCTCGACTCATGGATTGAGAACCAATACTCTAGATGTTAATTCCTACCTGCTGTTTCCTACGTCTTCTCCCCTTGGTTACTGACTTGAAAGCCTTGCAACATTCAAACCCAGAATCAGCCCTTTTAAGAAGCTTGTGCTGAACTGGACAGGTTGAGCATGGGACTCTTTCCCTCCATCCCTTCAGTACACTCGCCACCCTCAATTGTCAAGCACTTTCACTGCATTACAGTTGTGAATGTTAAAGGTCTAGGATGGGACAAAGGAAGACAGAAAAGCATGCCAAGATCTAAGTCCTAAACTCTCAGCTCCATCACCTACTAACTAGGTGATCATGAGGCCGTGACCTGAAGTGGCAGCCAATTCACTTCACATTTTAAAATTCAAATCTTCACAAATAGTCTTAAAACTAGAAAGTAGTAGAGTCAGGGTTAAATTCACAGATTTGCTCTGCATCATTGATGTAGGTCACTGTGCTTCTTTAAAACTGGTTTTCTTATCTCTGAATGGGAAAGACAATACCACAAAAAGCAGAGAGAGGCAGGAGTACGGGGGGTGGGGGGAGCTGGGGGTAGGGCTAGGTTAAATTCTTCTAATTCCAAAACAGAAAAGATAGGCTGAATTCTTAAAATAACTGAGAACTCACCCATTCCTTTGTATGATGCCCTAAAAAAATAAATGTAAAAAACTCTGAAAATATAAATTTGATCCTTCTTAGGTTCTTCTGTTAGTCCGCCACAATTTGTGGCTGTCAGAATATAGAACATGTTCTCTTTTCTGCCTCTCCCTCTCTCTCTCTCTCTCTCTCTCTCTCTCTCTCTCTCTGTCTCTCTGTCTCTCTCTCTCTCTCTTTCTCTCTCTCCCTCTCCCTCCCTCTCCCTCCCTTTCTCTTTCTCTCTGTGTGTGTATGTATGTGTGCATGAGAGAGTGAGAGAAAGAAAGAAAAAAAGAGAGAGAGAGGCTTGTAAATTACCCAGGTATTTTGTTGTTGTTGGTTTTGTTAAGGTGTTTGCTGTTGTTGTTGTTTTTTAAATTTTTGTGTGTGATTGTATGCAATATGTGTACAGGTGCCCTTGGGGGACTAGAAGGCATACAATCCCCTAAAACTGGAGTTAGAGACAGTTGTGAGCTACCTGGTGTGGGTGCTGGGAACTGAACACAGGCCCTTTGAAGAGGAGCAAGCACTCCTGGCCTTCAAGCTACCTCTCCAGCGACACATTTTATTTTTATTTATTTTTTTTAAAGATTTATTTATTTATTATATATGAATACACTGTAGCTGTCTTCAGAGACACCAGAAGAGGGCATCAGATCTCATTACAGATGGTTGTGAGCCACCATGTGGTTGCTGGGATTTGAACTCAGGACCTCTGAAAGTGCAGTCAGTGCTCTTAACCACTGAGCCATCTCTCCAGCCCCCGACACATTTTATTTTAAAAAGCATTTTTGTTGGTTTTTTTCAGTAACCATTTACTAAGAACTAGGTTTCATTGAAGTGTCTTCAGGCATGTCAGTATACAATGTTGCCTTTCATTCTTTCCTTTAACTGCCCTCCTTATCTCGGCTTCTGCTCTCTGGCCCGATCCCTTCCAAGGCTGGTTTTAAAGTGGTCTCAGGAGATTTTCCTGCCTCTGTTTCTCCAAGAACTAGGCCTGTATATATGTATCACATGCCCACATAGATTAACCTTTATCAAAGTGTCAGATTATAGTAACTAATTGTCTAAGAACTTTTTCTGGTCTTTTTCTAAATCAGTTCAGAGGTTTCTACAATTTTTTTCTTTTTGGTTTTTTTCGAGACAGGGTTTCTCTTTATAGCCTGGACTGTCCTGGAACTCACTCTGTAGACCAGGCTGGCCTCGAACTCAGAAATCCGCCTGCTTCTGCCTCCCAGGTGTTGGGATTAAAGGCGTGCACCACCACCACCCGGCTACAATTTGGTTTTTAAAAAGAAAAAAAATATATAGTATTTCTTCTCAAAAAATACATGGGAAGAGAGATTCTGCCCCTTTGTGCAAAGGACAAAACACCTTAGGATTTTCAGTGACTCAAGGAGATGGGTAATGACTAGAGGGGATTTTTATAAAGGATTTTAAGAGGTTGGTAATGGAAAACGTAGAGAGGAAATGCTGTATCTTTTACTAGAGAAAGATACCAGAGTAGAACTAGGGGAGTGACTTCACGCCAACCCTCAAAGACCTCCAGCTCATTCTCTACACTGAGCCATTAGACAGCATTCAAACCTGACCCTTCGGTGACTCCACCAAGAACCAAAGGCAAGCACACATTTCTGCAGTAGAACTCCTAAAAACCTGATGAACAGAAATAAAATTTTATATAAGGGTGCAACATATTATATAGGACACATTCCTAGCCTGGATGAATAAGAGACAATGTTGCTTAATGCTGGATTGTGAATCTTGGCAGGAACAGAGCAAGTCTTGTCTCAGATTCTAAGTCCATGCTAAGATGCAAATACACGGGAAAGGCTATTATCAAAGCTGGGGATCACAGGCATGCAGCTTCTGGAGCTCCACAACTTCCCTTGGGCTGGCTTCTGTGGGGTTCCGATCCAAGCCTAGAAGAGCGGAGGGTGTGTTGGCACTTGAGAACTGACTTTGGGAACGTGTCTCCCTAGGTTCTCATTTTCTACCACCTGTTTGGGGAACGTTTAGTCTTTTGAATAGAGTAGTAGTAGGAAAACAACATGCCCGTATTTACCACCAAAAGTTTTAACTTTGCTGAGAAAGTTTAACTTGGCCCAGAGCTTCAGGAAAACACTAAAAGCCAGAACAGTTTGTGAAAATTAGCAAATGGCTGACTTTGATGTGAAAACCTAGGGTACATGTCTAGGAGATTCAAAGTTCCTTCCTTCTCTGACCCTCGTTCCATGCCCTTAATGAGCTCCTACCCACTCTTACCTCACATAGAGGCTGGATGGGGGAAGGTACGCTCCTGGCAAAGGAAAGTACTCTATGAACAGTGACCAAAAGGTGGTGTTTCTGGGGCACAGAGGTGCCTGGTTCAGAGGTGAAAGAGAGAACGTGGGAGGAACCAAAGAGAGAAAACAAGCCAGCGGGTGACAGCAAGGACTGAGCTGGACTGGAGGTGGGTGGGTCAACGCTAGAAAAGGAAAGGCTCAGGAGTAAAAGTGGGGAGGACCAGGCATGACCGTCAGGGGCTGGATCCCCGGGCCAGGCAGTACGAGTGACAGCCGGAACGCACGGGTCTGGTGGAATACAAGGGTCTGCAAAGAAGGGGCTGGGCCAAGAAGTCTGTTCGGCAGAAGCATGGTTTAGAGACGGGGCGGAAAGGACCCATTTCTAGCATCGTGGTCCCTCGTCGCCACCCTCACTCGCCTGCAGGATCCGGGACCGCATTGCTGCCGCTGCCGCCACTGCCGCCGCCATGGTTCACCACCGACTCTGCCCAGCTCCCCTGCGCCTCGGCTGCCAGTGCCTCCCCTGAAGCTACACCGCTAAGCCACGCCCAGGACACGAACGAGCCTTCCCATTGGAGACAAGGGGCATTTCTTATAACCAATCACTTGTCATAACTCTTGACTCCACCCATCAGTCCCAGCCCTGGGAGTAGGTGATTGGTCAAAGGCGGAAGCGTTCCCGTCTTCTCTCACTTCAGCCTATTTTTGTTGGCGGAGATAGGGAGCCGCCCCCTCGACTTGGTACTGCATATTAAGCACACAGGGAAGACGCCCCCTAACCGGGAACTCCGATTGGCTACGGGTACCCACAAGGTCTCGCCCCTTTGCAAAGGAAAGTAAATAAGGTCCTTGAAGAATTTTGCCTACGTTCTACCTTAACTACCACTCTGCGGGTGGGGCTGCTGCCTGGGGTGGGACTAGGCAAATGTTACCCTATGAGGTAGAGAAACGAGGCCGGACTGAGAGTTAAGGATAGGTTATCCCTGCTAGGGGCGTGGCTTGCGGGTCCTCACTTTCCCGCCGACGGTTGGCCTCGTCACGTGACATGGGCTGGAAGATGGCGTCTCCCACAGACGGTAAGAGCCGGCTTGGAGATTGTTGGCCTGTAGTCTCATTATCTGCTTCTCTGGGAACTTCCACCGTCTTCACGGTTACACTTTTTTTCTTGGGCCCAACTTCTTTCTCTCCCACTCTCTTCTTTGGGGTATGTCGGCTTTTCAGCTAGCAGGTGCCTGGTACCGGGTTTCCTTGCTGTGTACTAGGTAGGTGAAGGAGGCCACCAGCCGGAGACCCTATCCGGGAAAAAAGGACAGAGGTCGCTCCGGCCCATCGGTGATGCTGAGGGTTCAAGAGGGGCTGCTGCGGGGAAAGGGAGCTTTCTTTTTGAACAGGCCCATTGGAGTGTTGTTCTATTCTCACCTCAGTAGAGCTGGAACGAGTCTCTCAAGCTCTATAGCTGTGAGTGGTGACTGACATGAGGTCTAGGGTTCATTCTTATACCGAGCCGAGAGAGAAAGATGCTTGTCTCCTCAGTTCAGGACCGTTGCCTTGGCAGCAGGAGAAGCAGGGACCTGGTTTCCTTGCCCCGAGTCCCGAGGGAATGAAAATTAGGCCTGTTAATGTAGTTTCGAACGCTTCTCAACCCTTCCTTAACCCATCACCCCTCTTATGTGTTGTTTCCGTAAGCTGAGGGCAGGAGCAAATCTGCTTATATGTCGTCTAAGATGGAAGTCATCTCAGGTGGCAAATAGGTGTTCGTGTTACACCCGTATGCTTTTGCTCGCGGTTCTGCTTTGGTATTTGGAATTGCTCTTCTGTCATTATTCAGTATCTCAGTATATTCTTTGTCAGCATTGTTATTCTGTTAACTTTGCCCAGGCCACACCCAATTATAAATTCCAAGTTGTCTTATTTTATAAGTTTAATCCTAGGTTTTAGAATAATGCCTGTAAAGGATTTTGCCATCAGTTAACGTTTATCCAAAAGTGAAACTGGCCTTGATGTGTGATCTCTAATTCTAGCTACTTGGGAGATTGAGGCAGGAGGATTGTTGCTTGAGACTTGCCTAGGCTGCAAAGAGAATTGTTGGCAAAGCGTGTCTCAAATAAAAAGTTGAGGCTTAGTTGGTTGTTGGGTTTTGTTTTGTTTTCCTTTTCCTGAGACAAGTTTCTCTTTGTAGTCCTGGCTGCTGTGGAATTTTCTCTATAGATAAGGCTGGCCTCGAACTCAGAGCTCCTCCTACCTCTGCTTCCCGAGCGCTAGAATTAAAGGCATGTACCACCACCACCCAGCTTGAAATAAAAAGTTTTATTTTAAAACATAAGGGAGGAGTGGCTGGAGAGATGTCTCAGAGGTTAAGAACACTGGTGCTCTTCCAGAGGTCTTGAGTTCAATTCCCAGCAACCACATGGTGGCTCCTAGCCATTTATAATGAAATCTGGTGCCCTCTTCTGGTGTGCAGGCGTACAAGCAGGCAGAACACTGTATACATAATAAATAAATAAATAAATAAATAAATAAATCTTTTTTAAAATGTGAGGAGGATACAGTGGGGGCTGGAGAGATGGCTCAGTGGTTAAGAGCACCTGGTGCTTTTGCAAAAGACCTGGATTCTATTCCCAGCATCCACATGGCAGCTCATGACTCGGTTCCAGTGGATCTGAGCTCCATGGGCATCAGGCATGCATGTGCTCCACATATGTTCCATGCAGACAAAACAGTCATACACATGAATAAAAAGTGAGAATGTAGTTCAATGGTAGAGCTTGCTTATCATGAATAAGACCCTAGGTTCAGTCTTTAGTACTAAAAAGAATGATTAGATTAGATTAAAAGATGTTACCAGATTTCCCTCCTTTCTTCCTTTCCTTTTTTGAGATAGGGTCTCACTGTGTAGCCCACGTTGTCTTCAGATGCACTATCTTCTTGCTTTCCCACCTGTGCCTCCAGTATGCCAGGATTATAAGTCTGTACCACTGTGCCTGGCCTCTGACTTGATTTTGAAGTTTTAGGTGTGACTGCATTTTAAGTTTTGAGCACATTCACATATCTTAAATTGTGTTCACAACATAAGAGATTTTCTAGCCTGGGTGATTTTTTTTTTTTTTTTGCTAAAACATCTTTTTCTTACTAGAAAAAAAAAGTGTAGGTAGGATTTTTGTTGTTGTTTTTAAAAATTGTAGTTCACCTTGGTGTCTGTGGAGGTCTCCTGAGAACAGGATTTCTAAAAGGCAGGGTCTGGAAGGTTGTGGTGAAAGGCTAGTTTTCCTAGATATGTGAGGTCTCTAGAATCAAAAAGAGCATACAGCTCTTCTTCAAATCGAAGTCGTTTGTATCTGAGATGAAGCTTAAGTTTACTAATGCTGGAGATGTGCTTGTGCGTATAAAAAGGTAACACAGTGACTCCTGGAGGCAAACCAAGCAAAAGCAGAGCAATCTGGGGAGAGGTAAGTCAGGCCTGTAGAAATGGTGGCAGCCATCGTGCAGAGGCCAGAGGATGCAGAATACATGGAATGCTGGACCCTACACAAATGAAAACTAAGGGAAAGGAAATCATTAAAGAACTGGTCCGTGACATTGCAATTTCTTGAGATGGAGAGGGTTGAGAAAGTAAGGTTTCGAACATTGCAGTATTAAGGGGTTTTCTCTACATGCAAATGGAGAGACATCAAGTAGCCTCTTGGACAGGAGACTGGTTGAGCCTTGAAATACGAATTGTCATTGGTATATAGTGGTGAAAGTTGTAGTAGAAAGTAAAGCCAGCACAGTCTGAGAGCTGAGTGGCACAGACTAAAAGAGGAGTCACTAAGAGGGAACGAGCATAGTAGTTTCAGAAAAGCAGGGAGGAAGAATATCACATGCCATAGAGAGGCTGCGGAAGGGAAATAAGGGGGAGGAGTTAGCATAGGTAATCTTGATGACAGTAGTTTCAGTGCATGTAGGGACAGAATTCAGGTTTTGTTTTGTTTTGTTTTTTGAGACAGGGTTTCTCTGTATAGTCTTGGCTGTCCTGGAACTCTGTAGACCAAGCTGGCCTCGAACTCAGAAATCCGCCCGCCTTTGCCTCCCAAGTGCTGGGATTAAAGGTGTGCGCCACCACCGCCCAGCTCAGCATTCAGGAGAGAGTGCAGGGCCTGGGGAGAGGATAAACAGTAGGTAAGCATGCTTGTTTTGCAAATAAGAGGACCTGAGTTTGAAGCCAGGCATGGTTGTACTGCCAGCACTGTGAGGGCAGGGAGGGCATGCACAGAAACAGCTGGATCCTGAGAGCTTGCTGGCTAGCTAGCTTCTGGTTTAGTGAGCAACTCTGTCTCAAGACAATAAACCTGAGAGCAAAACAAAGACACCCAGCATCCTTTCTGGTCCTTTATAGTTATATGCCTATCTGTGCACTTATTACATCCATATACCACACACACACATGCACGCACGCGCATGCACACACGCACACATACACACACACACCAGTGTACAGTAAGAGAGTAAGGACAACAGGATACCCAGGAGGGGAGGTTATACCTTTAAAGGGAGAATTTGCATGTTTCTCTCTGTGTGTATCTACACTCAGACATGCTTGTGGGTACTGGTGCATGTATGTGCATACATGTGGAGACCTGGTTAACATTGAGTAGTTTCTCTCTCTGTCTCTCTCATTCATTTACTTATGTTTATGAGACAGGGTTTCACTATGTAGCCCAGGCTGTCCTGGATCTTATTATGTATACAGGCTGCCTTCAACCTCAAAGATCTACGTGCCTCTGCCTCCTGAGTGCTGGGGATTCACCACCTCCACCCATCGAAGTGTCCTTTTAATAAGTCTAAAAGGAGATAAATTCTAGATCAGGCTTGCTTGTTGACTGTGAGCCTGAGATAGAAACTGATGGTACAAGACTGAGGTGCTTGTCAAAGCTGAAGACAATGGACTACAGTAGAGATTGTCTTTCCTGAGAGCAGTGACACTTAGCTGACTGTAACTGGAGACAAGATGAAGAGTGTAATGAAGACGGGTGGATTTGTTGACACTCTGTTCTACAAGGAGTTTTGCCGTACAGTCTGGGCTGATCTTTCAGTGTTCCTGCCTTAGTCTCCCAAATGCTGGGGTTACAGCTGTCAATCACCATGTCCAGCTGATAAACTCGTCTTTGAAAAAATTTTACATGTATGTAAAGGTAATTTGCTTACCTGTATGTCTCTGTACTACATGTGTGCTAATTGGAATTATAGACAGTTATAGCTGCCATGCAGTGTTGAGGAGTGAACATGGGTCCTCTGGAAGAGCAGTCAGTGCTCTTAGCCACTGAGCCCTGACTTTCTTAAACACTCTTATTTAATAGAGTGGAAGTCTGAGTTTTGATGAGGGAGAATCAAGTTTACTTGTATTGCGTCATGCCTCAATAGAGTTTCAGGGAATCAATAGTTCAGATCTCTAAACTTCTAATTGAGTGTTTCAGGTTATGTTTTTTGAGATTAAAAAATAATAAAAAGTAAATGGATGTGTTTCTCATCTCATCTTGTTGTTTGGTTCTAGGGACAGATTTGGAAGCATCTTTGCTAAGTTTTGAGAAACTTGACCGTGCCTCACCTGATCTTTGGCCAGAACAGTGTAAGTTTTGACTTTTCTCATATTAGAATTGAAGCAGGAGAGTTGGTGCTCCCTTGGGAGAATTTTGCAGTGTTAACATGTATCTGATGACTAAAGCTTTTATTTTGCTTCAAGAGAAAAGATTGATTAGCAGTAAAAATAAAGACTTAGTGGTTTAATTTTTCAGAACATTGCAAGACAAGAAGTGATAAGGAGCTTTAGAAAACTACATATCTGAAATTATAATTTTAGATAATACCAAGATGCACAAAGCATTTCTTCATCTCCTTTAGTGAAATACTTAAATATTGTTCGTAATTTTATACAGGGTGGTTTGGACATTTTTTTTATGCTTGTACAGATAAACATATACATACATATGTTATATATGTATGTGTATGTATGTCACGCACACAGGAGCTTTTGTTTTTGATAATGATGATGTAATATGTGTAGAGCCCTCAGGGTAATTTATTTCAACAAGTAATTTGATGGGTCTTCCCACGTCGATCTGTGCAGGTCCACCTCATTGTTTTATATATATTACAGTGGATACGTATATTCTAGCTTCTATATTTATATTCTATTTGGAAACCTAAGTTACCTCATTTGTATTTCACAGGCAGTGTGTCAGTGAACATCCTTGCATATCTGTCCTGTATGTAGCCAGTGTTACTCCTTGTTGTTATGTTTAGCTTGCTTTTTTTTTTTTTTTTTTTTGGTTTTTCGAGACAGGGTTTCTCTGTGTAGTCCTAGCTGTCCTGGAACTCACTCTGTAGACCAGGCTGGCCTTGAACTCAGAAATCCACCTGCCTCTGCCTCCCAAGTTCTGGGATTAAAGGCGTGCGCCACCACTGCCCGGCTAGCTTGCATTTTTTAAAAATTAAATTATATTCATTATTGGGCTGAGAGAAGCACCCATGTGCCATGATGCATGTATGGAGATCAGAGGACAGCCCATCTGAGTCAGTTCTGTCTTTTTACTGTAAATATGGGAATCTACAATTCAGGTTGTGGGCTTGGTGACAAGTGCCTTTCCCCACTGAGCCCTAGCTTGTATTTCTTAATTAATAGAATTGAACATTATTTCATTTTACATATGTAATTTTAGCTTTTTTTGCTTTTTTAATGTGATACTATCCATGAGGCATTTGAGTAAATCAAACAGGACAACTGAAAAGAATGTTTAGCTTATTTATATTATTTATTTATTTGCGGCCCTGGGGAATCAAACCCAGGGTCATGTGCTTGCTAGAAAAGCACTCTACCCTTGGTCTAAATCTCTAGCCCTGGAAAGGGAATTAAAACTTTCTGGTGAGAGATGACTTACTATTCTCCAGGCCAAATCCTGGTCCTTTAAAGCAGGAGGCATTAAGCCGGGCAGTAGTGGCACGCCTTTAATCGCAGCACTTGGGAGGCAGAGGCAGGCAAATTTCTGAGTTCGAGAGTTCGAGGCCAGCCTGGTCTACAGAGTGAGTTCCAGGACAGCCAGGGCTACACAGAGAAACCCTGTCTCAAAAAACCAGAACAACAACAACAACAACAACAAAAAGCAGGAGGCATTGGTTTCTCAGAGAAGCTTTTTCTGCCCTGTTATTCTCATTGAGCGTTTGTTTGTTTGTATTTGTCTTCCTGTAATACCTGATGGCTTTTCTGAAATGCTTTAGTAATGTTAATGATTTATGCTCTGTCCTTTTCTAGATTGTAAGTTACTTGAAGGCAAGACTTTGGTGTTTAGTTTTTAGGTTTTTCGTTAGCTTGTTTGGTTTTGTTCTTTTCAGACAAGGTTTCTTTGTGTAACCATGGCTCTCCTGGAAGTTGCTTTGTAGTCCAGAGTGGTCTCGATCTCACAGAGATTCCCCCGGGTCAGCCTCCTGAGTGCTGGGATTAAAGACTTGTACCACCACCACCACCACCACCCAGCATTTCTTTATTATTTAAATCCTCAGTACCTGAACACAGTGTTTCACGAATGAATAACTGTTTTTTCTTTCTAGTACCCGGTGTTGCTGAATTTGCAGCTTCTTTCAAGAGTGTAAGTAAACAGCTTCTGTCTGTGGGAGTTTACCCAAAGTTCGCTCTTGGGTAAAAAGCTCAAATCTTTATTTTCAAGACTATTGTCATAGTCTTCTAGTCATCTTTGATTGTAGACTTCTAAATATGTTTATATTATCATACTGTTAACTACTGATAGTCCCTTTCTCTGCTTAAATTCTTTATTTGGACATTCTGACCCTTGTCCATTAGCCTCTTTGCTCAGCTCATAGGCTTTAAGGTTAGACATTGGAAATACTTGATGTAACATTGGTGTTCTGTTTACCCCAAGTATAACTTTGAAGCCTCCCCCTTTATTTATATAGGGGTTGGTTCTCTTTTTAGTATGAAATTCCTGGGGTTTGAATTCAGGTCATCAGGTTTGGCACCAAGCTCACTACCAGGTGGTGGTGGTGGTGGTGGTGGTGGTGGTGGTGGTTTTTTATTCATTAACTCTCTTCTTTCTAGTAGCCCCTCTTAATGACCTAGGTTTGGTTTCTGCACAGGGATAAGAGAGGAAATGATATTACTGTAGCTGTCTCAGTCATTGTTGTATTGCTATGAAGAGACACCATGACCAAGGCAACTTATTAAAAAAAAAAGCATTTTATTGGGGGTTTGGTTACAGTGTCAGAGATCATCATGGTAGGGGCGGGGAGTGTGGCAATAGGCGGGTAGGTGTGGTACTGGAGTAGTAGCTGAGAGCTTACTTATCCAGGAGCAGCAGGCAGATGTAGAGCAAGAAACCTCAAAGCCCATCCTGAGTGACACATTGCCTCCAACAAGGCCACACCCCCTAACCCTTCCCAAACAGTTCCACTCACTAGGGACTAAGTGTTCAAGTATATGTGCTTATAGGGGCCGTTCTCCTCAAACCACCACCATAACTGAGGCTGACCTTGAACTTGTTACCCTTTGTGTCTCAGTTTTTGCTCAGATTGTTTATCCCACTATGTCTGTTAACATTTATTATTTTTTAGAGTTATCTAGGTGACTCTTATATGCAACTAGATTTGAAAGCTACTGATCTTACAAATGGGCTTTTACAATTTTAAGTTTACTTATAGAAATGAGAAGATATTTAAAATGCTGAAAATTTCTAGAAATTTCTACACAATCATGAACTGTGCTGGTGAGGTGGCTCAACAACAGTTAACACATTTATCGTCAGACCTCATCGATGACCTGAGTTCAATCCCTGGACCTATGTGATTGAAGGAGAGAACTGACTTCTGCAAGTTGACTTCTGACCTCCACATACCTGCTTTATGGCACATGCGTGCTCTCCTCTCCCTCTCCCTCCACATCACAAATAAATAAATGAAAGAAAAGCTAATAGTGAAATCTCAGGTGATAACCATTTTATTCTTTTGCCACTTGAGTTGAGATTTTTATTATTATTTTTTATTCTTCTTTCTGTCAGACACTTTCATAAGAACAGAATTTAAAGTAATGTTATTGCTGAACTAATGGATGCATGAAATAGTAATAACAACCGCGCCAACGTTCATTCAGAGCGGCCTCCCTGAGCCAGCTTTACGACTGAGCCCGGCTTTACGACCGAGCAGCAGAGTTTTGTGCAGAGACTTTTTTTTTTTTTAAAGATTTATTTATTTATTATATATGAATACACGGTAGCTGTCTTCAGACACACCAGAAGAGGGCATCAGATCTCATTACAGATGGTTGTGAGCCGCCATGTGGTTGCTGGGATTTGAACTCAGGACCTCTGGAAGTGCAGTCAGTGCTCTTAACCACTGAGCCATCTCTCCAGCCCGTGCAGAGACTTTTTGAAGTAATATCTCGACCTAGAAACTTGGTTTTAAAAGTTTGTTTGTTTGTTTGTTTGTTTTTTGTGTGTGGGTATTTTGGCTGTATGTATGTGTGTGTACCATGTTTGTGTCTGGTGCTTAAGAAGGCCAGAAGAAGGCATCAGATCCCAAGTGACTGAGGTCACAGATGGTTGTGGGTGCTGAGAATCAAACCTGGGTCCTCTGGAAGAGCTGTCAGTGCTCTTGCCCAATGAGCCATCTCTACCCACAAACCCTGGATATTTGAGATTGCAGTTTGCCAGGGTTTTTAAACAATCTGAAAGCTATATAACAAACTACATTCTTATAAGAAGGATGTGTCTGAGTGAATATATTCTTATTTTCTGACAGCCCATCACAAGCTCTCCACCGAAATGGATGGCTGAAATAGAACGTGATGACATCGATATGTTGAAAGGTATGTGATGCTGGTGTCTACTATCTCTTTCTTGGCTTGGTTTGGTTTGGGTTTTCAAGACAAGGTTTCTCTGTAGCCCTGGCTGTCGTGGACCAGGCAGGCCTCGAACTTGGAGTTCTGCTGCCTCTGCATCCTGTGTACTAGGGTTAAAGACTTGCCTTGCACCACAACCATCTGGCTTGGTGGTTGTTGTTGTTGTTTTAACTGTGTCTCTTTCCATTTCTCAGTTTGGTCTCTGAGCTCATGAGTGTCCTGCTCTCTTAACCCTTGAGTACCTGGGACTGTGGGCAGCCCCTAAGCCTGGCTTGTCCTCTCACATTTGCTCTTGCATTTATGTCCTTCCACAAACTCCTGGGCAGGTTTTCTGTCACTGCTCCCTACAGTCTTCTTGGCTTCACTCCGCCTCCTTTTCTGTTTTTATAGTTCTTCATAGCTGACTGGAATGTTGTTGGTTTTTTTAAAGATTTATTTCATTTATATGAGTACACTGTAGTTGTCTTCAGACACACCAGAAGAGGGCATCAGATCCCATTTCAGATGGTTGTAGTTGCTGGGAATTGAACCTCAGGACCTCTGGAAGAGCAGTCAGTGCTCTTAACCGCTGAGCCATCCCTCCAGCCCCTGGAATGCTTTTCTCTACTTTTTGCATGTGTAGAAATGCAGCCAGTTCAAGAATCCATCATGGACTTTTTCACTCTTATTCTTCTTAATATTAACTTAATTTTGTATAATGCTTACATTAGGCAAAAAACAAACAAACAAACAAAAAAAAAACCCCTTACATAAATTTCTTCCTGAATTATGAAGGCCCTGTTAGGTATGATAAAAACCAAGGTTTGGAGATAAAATGACCAGTATTTACAAGCTTATAAAGTTTAAATTCTGATCTTTTAAAGTCTGATCTTCACTGTAATAGAAGTGCCTTATATTGCCATTAGTACTATGAAATGACAGCCTCTCAGTGCTGGTTTTCAGCCTGTGTGTCGAGCGAGACCCCTTTGGGAGTCAAATGTCTCTTTCTTGGGGGTTGCGTATCAGATATATGCATTACAATTCAGTAGCAAAATTACAGTTATGAAGTAGCAATGAAGATAATTTTATGGTTGGGGGTCACCACAGCATGAGGAACTGTATTAAAGGGTCACAGCATCAGGAAGGTTGAGAACCACTGCCGTAGTGCTTTTCTCTTTTTCTTTTTTCTTCCTTTCTTTCTGTCCTTTCAGTTTCTTCTATAAAGAATTCTATAAGCAGTGAATACTGTTTTTTGATAAATGATTTAGTTCAATCAGAATGAAAATTTAAATTAAAAGTTAATTATATGACTTTGTTCTTTTTTTACAAAAATCTTTCTTATAGTGTTGAGATTCATGAGGTGGTAAAGTAATAGGCTGAAATTAAGGCAAAGATCAGGGATTCTTGAGCTATTTAAGCAGCTGAGCCGGTCAAGAAAGTCACATATGCTAGATGCAGGTGAGACTGCAGGATGATACAGGAATCCCAGAACTCCTTTCTGCGATTTCAGAAGTGTGGATATTATCACATGTAACGGGGCCGTCATAATTCAGGGGGAAATTTAGTAAGGGCGTTGTTGTTGTTGTTGTTGTTGTTCACTGTCTGTATGTTTAAATGCTGATTCCTTTTAACCTATGGAAAAATTATGTCCCAAAGGCATCTCAGGCTCATTGTCCTGATAATCCAGAAGTATTTATGTATTAACTGATGAGCATATGTTTCTTAAGAAAACTTTAACTGTTTAGTGAGCGTTCACGTAGCATTATGTTTTATGTAAACTCACCTCTAGTTTAAACAAGGAATTAGGTGCTGTTTAAATGAAAATCTGAGGTGTAATATCTATTTTAAGTAAGTAGAATCTGGGAGGAAAGTGTAATTAATTGAAAACAAAATAAGGAAAATTGGATTTGAAGGGGGAAATTTGGATTTATATTAGTTTTTGCTTTCTGCAGTTGAGAACATGATAAACAGTATTTTGTTGCTGTTATTTGTGATTATGTGTAATCACATGGGAAGCATGGGATTTAGAAATGGAGGCATCTATTTTACGTGACCAAGATGTGTCTGCAAGGTTTTCTCGGTGACATGTCACATTGTAAGGCTTCATATTTTATTGGTATGTTCACTTTGTATGACAGGCAAAAGTGAATGTTACAAATGGGTCCTTGGGCAGGCGAGGTGACTGCGCTGTAAAGGAACGTTTTCCCAGCCCTGACGACCCGAGTGTGCTCTCTAGAACCCACATGATAGGAGAGAGCAACTCCTTCAGCTTGCTCTCTGACACACATGCAGTAGCGTGCGCATACACACTACATACATTTAAAAATATTGGAAAAAACCACTTAAACTGTTAAGTATTCATACCAAGGTGTTTTGCAGTGGTAGAAATCTGTACTCTTTTTTGCTGGACAGTTTATAAAATTGGAGGAGAAGAAATAAGGTTCTATCTTGCACTTATTCAGGAAGGGATTTAAGCTTTCAATCCTCCTCGCCCTCTCACTGTGCTAGTGATCAAGCCCAGGGCTTCCTGCATGCCAGGCCATGTTCTGACATTCAGTGTATGTACTCCCAGCCCAGCTTGAAGCAGTTTATTATAAGAACTGTCAACTCAAACCAACTGTTGAGAGGAGTAGAGAGAAGTGATATTGAAATAAAGTCTTTTATTTCAGAACTGGGGAGTCTCACTACAGCTAATCTGATGGAGAAGGTACGAGGCCTACAGAACCTGGCCTACCAGCTGGGACTGGATGAGTGTGAGTACACTATTAATGTTACAGGGTTATATGTGTATATTCCATAGTGAATTCTAGTTATAACTCATGAAAATATAATTTTCCTTTTACTAAGGCAAAGACAAGCCATCTGAAGGTAAGAACTCAGTGTAACTTTGTACCTTTTGTGTCAGAACATGCTAGAATATTGACTGAACTTAACTGGTAGAAATTCTTTGTGCAGTACACATCTCTTGGTTATAAGTGATATGACAGGACTAAAGCAAGCTCGATCTGAAGAGAGACTTTGTCAGTTCTCATTAGTGTGTTGAAAGTCCAGGGGTGCAGATAGCCGTGCAATTGTCTAGATTTGTGGCTCTTAATGATGTCACTGGTGTGTGTTCTTATTCTCGCTTTTGTATATCTAGGCTTCACTTTCCTCGTGCAGTTAGTCCTAGAGACTTGCTGCTGCTGCTGCTGCTGCTGCTGCTGCTGCTGCTGCTGCTGCTGCTGCTGCTGCTGCTAGCTTTTTCTCAACCCTAGGGAAGGGGAGTAAAAAGAGATCCAGTTGTGGCTTTGAGTCTCATGATTCCCAAAGGAAGAGTGCTTTCACCGGATGTTCCAAAAGATAGTTGCTGGGAGAGATTTTTAGCTGTTCTGCACCAGCTCACATGTTTGTGTTTGAGCCAGTTCTTTGACAATAGCATGAGTACCCGGAGGCACCAGGCCTGAGTCCTGGGTACAGATAGAGTTTAGAGGGATTGGTCTGGCACAGACTGCATGGAATGAGAGGGAAGGGATATATGAAAGACCGAGAACACAGTTGCACCTATGAATAATGCTTTGTTTCCCAAGATGGCTCAGTGGGTAAAGATGCTAGCTGCCAAGCCTGATGACACAAGTTCAACAGTGTATACAGACACACACACACACACGCACGCATGCACGCACGCACAATTAAATGTAAAACATTTTTTCAAAAAATTTCTCATTTGTCTCCATATGCCCTTTGTTTTAAAATTACTCCTTTGAATACGGACATCATGGCTCACATCTTTAATCCCAAAACTCAGAAAGCAGAGACTGGAAAACCTTTGAATTCGAGGGTAATTAGAGCTATATTGTGAGGCTTTGTCTCAAAAGCCAAAGCAACAACAAAATTTATTTTTGGGGGCTAGTAGTAGTCCTCAGTACTAGAGTCCTTGCCTAGTATATAGTAGGCTCTGGGTTTGATCCATGCTTTTTATTAACAAAAAGTTTAATACTGAGTATGGTGGTGCGTGCCTAGAAATATGACCACAGCATTCAGAGTGCTGCGACGCTAGTGGGAGGTAACGGCCAGCACAGCAAGACCCTGTTTCAAGAAACCAAAGAAATCTCAAAGATGACTTCCTTATATACTTTCTCTCTTCTCGTCTGACATTCATTAGAATAGGTTTTAGAGGTCATTGTCACTTTGTGAAAGGAGAGATAGTTATTATCAGGACAGTGTTGGAACCTTGTTCTCAAACCATACCTCCTGAGACTCCTGATCTGATGTGTAATTTCCTTTAAAAATTCCAGTTTTGTAACTGTTGGGAGAATTGTATAGCTTTGTAACTGGTTTTTTAGAGCATGCACCGCCTACAGTGACTGTTGACGTCATTGGTTTGTCACTCTCAAGTTCAACATTTAACCGCAACATTGTCATTTCTAAGCTTCCCTTTCCATCATTGTCATCCGCTGTTGGCTTTTCCCATCCTCCTGCTGCGGATCAGGCCTAAGGCCTACAGCTAGCGCTCCACCACCACAGAGGCCCAACTCCAGCCATGATTGAGTTGGGTTTCTTTAACCAAAAGCCTTTTCAATCCCTTCAGGAATCAAGGAATGTACAATAATAAACTACTTTAAGGTAGAAATCTTAAGTGATCCTCTCCTCACTCTCCGCTCTGCTGTGGTGATTTCATTTCTTGCATTAAAGTTTATGCCTTGGCAGAATTAATGACTACTAAGTGTGATATGGCTGCTGAGGGTTTATAAAGAGAAGGCTGATCTGTGGTTCTTAAGTTCATGACTGAGTGGCTTGCATGGGCTAGGACTCCTTTTGTTTCTCACGTTAGATTATAAATGGTATAATCATCTTAATAATCAATGCCTGATCTATGTGATTTTTTTATGTATTTTTAATGCAGTAAACTTTATGCTTGTCATATCAAGAAGATGCTGTTACCAAACTTATTTTTTAGCTGTGCCATCTCTAGTTGTAGCTGAAATTTCTGTATTCTGTGTAATCATTATCTGCTGAGAAAAATATTTTTCCACTTTTTATTACAGAAAAAATCTAAACAGACTATAAAGTAGAGAACAGAGTAGTAAGCTCATGTCTATGGCCCAGTTTTGGTAATCGGCATACGTCCAATATGGTTTCACTTAGAATAAGTAGCCTCTCATAGTACCACAGCGTTCTAAAGCAAGTCCAATGCCCTGTATTACCACTCGTGCCAAGTAGCTTCACTTATGTTTCTAAAAGCTAAGGCTTTAAAAATTCCATTGTTGTTTTTTTAAAGGAGTCTTACAGACCAGGCTTGGTGGTACACACCTGTAATACAACACTTAGAAGTCTGAGGCAAAAGGGGTATGAGTTTGAGGCCAGTCCTCTGAGCCATAGAGTGAGTTCCAGATCAGTGAGTTCTTGGGCTATTGTGGCAGGAGTAGGGAGGAGGTAATGTTGCTTAGGATGCTCTCAAATACATGATTCTTTGTCTCAACATCCCAAGGAGTTGTCCTGCAGACCTGTACCACTATGCCTAAAAAGTTTTAACAAGCTACTTAGTGTCTTAAACTGCCCAGTCATGGGTCAGATTTCCCTGGTTAAATTACAAATGACTATACATAGAGTTGGTTTCCTTTAGTCATGATCTACATAAGTGTTATAAACTACATTTAATTGATATTCTCTTTTAGTCTGTTATCTAGTTAGACCTCTTATTTTTTTTCTTGCTATTTGCTAAATTTAGTGAATTGTTTTAGAATTTGCCACATTCTGTATTTTGTTGATTATATCCTTGAAGACGTACTTATGAATGTATACATGACTATCCGATCTTTTTATTTCATGGAAGTTAGATTTGGAAGCTTGCATGGATACAGGTTTCATTTTTTATTTTAATTTTGGCAGGAATATTTTATAGGTGGTGTGTCTATTTAAGGCTATTGTCTGCTTATCTCATTTCAGTTAACACTAGGATCCATAGTTGATCAAGGTATTGCCACACTGACCTTTCCCACAGTAGCAGCCTTTGGTTACTGTCCAGATTCATGATTTCAATAAAAGTTATAAGATTGTCATAATCTTATTCTGTCATCCCTTCTTATTATCTTGAATTTTCTTATAAAGAAGAAGTGATCAACTATTTGATGGCCTCAAAAGTTGTTCCCATTAGAATGAAAAGATAAATGGCTTGTTTTTCTTACTAATTTTCAGAATAATGAGCTTGTTCACTAAGAATCAATGAAGTCTATTTTATTGGATTTTCATAGTATAAAAATCCACAATTAAAGCATTATTACTATTAACTGTTCTTAATATAATTTTAACTTTTTATAAATTTTATTATTTAAAAAAAATTTGTAAATACTCGTGCAAGCATTTAATCCCAGAATTTTAGAGGCAGAGGCAGGTAGATTGCTGTTGAGTTCAAGGCCTGCCTGATCTACATAGAGAATTCCAGGACATCTAGTGCTGCTAGAAAAACTCTGTCTCATAAAACAGCAAAACAAAACAAAAATCTTGCAAGTAAATAAAAATATTAGCCAGACAGTGGTGGTAAACACCTTTAATCCCAGCACTTGGGAGGCAGAGGCAGGCAGATTTCTGAGTTCGAGGCCAGCCTGGTCTACAGAGTGAGTTCCAGGACAGCCCTGGCTCGAAAAACCAAAAAAAAAATAATAATAATAATAAAAAATTATACACTAAAATGAACCAAAGTCTGTATACTTGGGTGACTTTCTGTACAGTTAGAACAGACATTTAGAATGGACGCTGTGGGGCGTCACATTAAATTGTACATTTTCAATATTGGCAGTTTATGTAATGTCATCTTTGGTGGTGGATAAATTCAAGTGTTTTTAATTTTCCAATTAATTAATTAATTTCATTATGCACACATTTGTACAGCAGTCAGAGAACAACTTGGGAGAGCTGACTCTCTTTCTGTCAATGTGGGTTCCGGGAATTAAACTAAAGTCATCAGGTTTGATAGTGTGTTTGCTTACCTACCGAGCCATCCTTACTGCTAAGTATTTGTACTTCTAAGGACTGAAGACATTGGGATTGGGGTTAGTTACAGTCAACTAAGTCATCTTAATCACTGAACTTTTTTTTTTCTGTTTTTTTTTTTGTTGTTGTTGTTTGTTTGTTTGTTTTTGAGACAGGGTTTGTCTGTGTAGCCCTGCCTATCCTGGAACTCAATTTGTAGACCAGGCTGGCCTTGAATTTACAGATATCAGTCCACTTCTGCCTCTCAAACGAAGGGATCAGAGGTGGGAGCCACTTTGCTTGGCTTTAATCACTGAATTTAAACTGAATAACAAAGACTGTTTCCTGCCAGTGTGGGTAGGATAAACACAGCAGAGACTCTTAAATTACATTTTAGTTTATAACTGAGCCTGTTTCAACTTCTATAACTGTACTTTGTAACTCACTCCTATTTTCCTTGACCATAGTGAATTTAGTTGAGGTAAGAAAATGCTTTAAGGCTTCCTCTTCCTGTAAGCGGCGAAAGGTGACTCGTCAAGATGGTTCGCTACTCTCTTGACCCGGAAAATCCCACAAAATCTTGTAAATCACGAGGTTCAAACCTTCGCGTTCACTTTAAGAACACCCGGGAAACTGCCCAGGCCATCAAGGGCATGCACATCCGCAAAGCTACCAAGTACCTGAAGGATGTCACTTCAAAAAGTCAATGTGTGCCATTCCGTCGGTATAATGGTGGAGTTGGTAGGTGCGCCCAGGCCAAACAATGGGGCTGGACACAGGGACGGTGGCCAAAGAAGAGTGCAGAGTTTTTGCTACAAATTTTAAAAAACGCAGAGAGTAATTCTCAACTTAAGGGTTTAGACTCAGACGCTATAGTGATCGAACACATACAGGTGCACAAGGCACCTAAGATGCGCCGA